TTATTTTTGGTGCTTGAAATCTTAATGCTTTTATACTTTCAATACGACTTTCCCAATGAGTCTATGTCAATGATTTAAGAGTTAGATTGAGTACAAAATCTTTTAAAAAATTTCACCGCTTAGTAGAAGAAGCAAATAGTGTATATATACGTTGTATCATTTCAAAAAATGGTACAACTTTTGTACGAGAATTAACTATATCACAAAGTATCAAATTTAAATTATGAAAACCACAAGGTATACAAAATGCTCTAGGATTTACATCGAGAATTCTTTTTTGCACTCTTTGATGTTTTTCCTTCATATTTGATCTAGGTAAAATGGTCTAATGGGCTCTTGTAATCGTATGACTTTGTATTCTGTACTCTTCTATTCAACTTTTTGCCAATTGAACCTCCGAACCCATTGAAACACAATTATTTAAACCTTTTTTCATATGGTCAATCATGTGTGTAATACAACTACTACACCTCAAATTTCACATCATTTATAATTTCCACATAAGAAATAAAATGGTAAATTAATTAAACTTTCTAAATTTTATTGGAGAAATCATTTTTTCTTCCTTCCAATTTTTTTTCCTGATTTCTCCCTTTTCTCTTCTCTCATTCCAATGCTCTCACTAGTAAATCAATCTCCACCACAATGTGGTGGTGGAGCTACCATTCAAGATGAAGACTACGTCACATTCGATTTTAAAAAAAATAGTATGTAGCCACGGCCTATTCTTGACGGTCCCAAATCACTGGGACACTTTCTCCAAAACCCTATTCGCCCACTGTACGTCTTTGAAAACATTAACAACTATGATACAAGTACATAATGTTAGGTTGGGATGAGGAATATGTTCTTTCCATGTGAAGATTTACATAAATTGGAATGATTGATATTGTTCGGTTCCATCGATGTTGAGTAGATTGGAGGATACGAGGTTACTTGTTGAAGAGTAAGATCGATAAGTTTATTCATTTTTGTAGAACAATAGAAGGAATTTGTATTTGTGGAGACTCTTTCTTAAAGTGATAAAGAATAAATTTGCATAAGAAATGATGAACTCATTGAAGAAGATGAAAGGCAACACGCAACAACCAAAACGAAATGGGGAAAAAAATTGATAGAAAGATTTGAAGAGTAGAAAAGCAAAAAAAAAGCTTCTTTTTGTTCAACAATGGTGAATGTATAAATCGGAAAAAAGATGACTATTGATTAGGTCAAAAATTGTCATTTGTTGTCTTTTTCAAAGGCCTTATGCGCATAAAATATGTGTATCACACACTTCAGAAAAAAATGCCACATAGGATGACAAGTCCAAAATGGAGTTTTAAATACAAAGTTTCAATGGGTTTGTTGGCAAAGGGTTAAGTAAAATGGTCCAAAATACAAACTCATGCAAGTACAAAGGTCCATCAAACCATTTCGCCTTTGATCTATTATCATATTCTTGTCCTCTTAAATTATGAATATCAACTCCAATATTTATTATTTCATCTATAATAACTTCAAAGAGACATTTTTTCACTTGTATCATCCACTTTTTAAAACTCTAAAGAAAATTCATTAACTTTTATTGTAGTAGTTGAAATATCCACACTCTGCTAAATAAAATTCATTTATTCTTGAGAGCTTACGTCCGGAGTGCAATCAAGTATGATTGAGAGGTTTGCTTCACCTTTAACTAGAGGTCTCGGGTTCGTTCCTTGAGTATGGAGTAAATCCTGTTGGAAGCGCCATACTCGAATGGGCCCTACAACACATGATTTAGATTTAGTCGGGACTCTAATGTGAGCTTGGCACACTGATGAATAACGCTTCAAATACACTTCATCCAATTCTAAGTGCAAACGATCGTTAAGCAATATAAAACCCAACAAATGAGTTGGGCTCGAACCCACATTAGTACGTGTTCAAATTTAATTAAGAAATACAAATGTGATCTAGCTAGTTATAGGAATAGACATTATAAAAAAAACATGAAATAAATTAAAAGGGTTGACACGAATGTCAGATGGGGGGTTTTGGTTTGAAATTATCAACTATAACGCAGTCAAACACTGATAAAATAATAATAGGGAGACGAATTCTCAGGATGTGATCGATTATAGGTAAATTTCACTACACGGGTAATTGTAACTACTAAAACATAGCTAAATATCAGTGGGTAGGCTAGACTATGAGTGAAATAACTTTCTCTCGAACAACTATTCCGCTTCAAGCTATTTCTTTCGAACATCGACAAGCATAGCAATTAAGAACAACCCACACCTTAATTCATCCACTCTCTCAAGCTAGATGGGTAGAATTGGGTTTAGGATTCACTCTCTTGAGCTGAACCCATATCAACCCAATACCTACAAACCATTAATCAAAAGCTTTAGCCCTAAAACTTCTCTCTCGAGCAAGCTAAGAACACAAGATTAGAACTGCATTTGCAACTACAATTCATAAATTAAACCTCAGCTAATTATTAAACCCACTTCAATATAGCATTTAAACTAGTAATTAACAACACCCATAAGTTAATTCAACTTATAAGCACATGAGCACACCCCAAGAATTGGGATTTTAGCTAAACATCATAAAAAAGTGAAAACGGTTACCAAATCGATTATTCATCAACTGCATAAGAGTAATCAAGACTTTACAATGTTCTAAATTGAATAAAATTAGTAACCAGCTTGCAAAATCTCCGAATTGAATCTCCAAAAACCTTCAAGTCTACGGGGAAAACTATTCTAAATGGTAGCAAGCTAAAATCTGGAAAAGAGAGCTTTTCAATTAACAATTCAAAATTTAATTTATAGTTGCCAAAAATTAGCCACGAAGGGCCATTAGGCGAGGTAAGTTGGGTTCGCCAAGTGGTTTGGCGAACCGCCCATTGCTCTCTTCTATCGCCTTTTTGCATTGGCTTTTAGCATCCTCAAGTCCTGTAACTTTGGGTGATCACTCTTTTCATCGTGGAACTGATCGGCGATTCGCCGACTGCCCCTTTCCTGTCACCGACTTGGTTTCTTCCCTCAGGGCTAGCACACTGGAACTTTAGGCGGTCTAAATAGCCACTCGACGATTCGCCAAGTGTTCTTGGCAATCATCAGGCCCGCCTTTCTCCACTTCAATTTGTTTAGTTCCTTTTTTCCTGTTAGTGTCCTTGATTTTCTCCTCAATCCACATACTTGAAAAACATGGCTTTAACATCAATTTATGGCATAAGTTAAGCATTTGAGGACACTAAAACTGTATAAACAAATCCCTAAATGAGTCTAAATCTAGGACTCATCATCACCCCCGACTTAAACTTTTGCTTGTCCTCAAGTAAAACTCAAGATCAGCAGTTCAAAAAGGATGTCTCAAATAGTGCTACATAAGACTCAACATGAATGCACACAACAAGGCTCAAATTACTCATACGATGATCAATTGTGCACTCAAAGATTAAAATTGTGATTCACCATTACTAAAGATGCTCAAGTTCATAATACTTGCTTCAAATACAAGTTCAAGTTCAAGCTCAACAAAGGTACTCAAATGCCCTCATAACAAAGATGATTCCATATTCACACAAAATTCTTCAACAATTTAAAGTTCCGGAATCACATACAACTCTCACTCTCACAAAGATGAACACATGTATGACTTCACTCATAAGTTTTCCTTTATTTTCCAATCAACATTCATTTCAGTTCACTCAAGATTACAAAGGTCTTTTCAAGGCTTGTAACGGGGCTGAATGTCAAGGGTATGGTCATTTAGGCTCGGTGGCTTCCACTTTCATGAAGTATGGTCTGAACATCACTTTCCTCCTTTTCTTTACCTTCTCAAACATGCTCCTAATCCACCCCATTATTCAACTTCATATGAACTACTGGATACCCCATTTCTTTTACAATTTCCAATACTTTATTTCACAACTTTTTCGGTCTTTTTCTTTTCTTTCTTCTTTTTCATTTCCTTTTCTTTTTTTTTTTTACATTGAGGGTTCCATCTTTTTTTTTTCAAAATCTTTACTCAAAGGGGGATTTCTCTCACTTCTTGGCTTTCCTTCTCTTTTCACCACACCCCCAACTTAGGCTTTTGGCCTAAGTTGGCTATTCAAACAAACCATACTTCATGAAAGTTATGGGTGAAAGGATAAAGAGAGGTCATAATTGCTCAAGTTTCTTCCAAGAAAAGGGTAAGGCTCAAGAGGGGTCAATCAAGGTTCACACATCTCACAAGGTTGGACACAAAAGAAGTATATTGTCAAACTGTTTTCACTCTTCAAAATTGTTGACTAAGATCATTTCAAGTGCTTGCATCACTCAATCAACCGGACCAACGGGGAAAATTCTAGGTGTCATCATACACCATGTTCAAGTAATCTTATCACACAAGGCATTGGTACCAATATCTAACAAGACTCCACACTTTCTAGCTAGTGTTCAATGTTCATCACAAGAGACTCATTCGATAACTGGCTAGTCACAATGAGATGCTAAAAGTTCACACATTGTCTATGCAACTTCATTTTCCTTATCGTAATCGCACATTCATTTCGTTCAATTAAGAACACTATTTAAGTCATCGGTATTTATCATAACCGATACTCAAATTTGCACAAGAACAACCACAATCACACACAAAGAGGTGGTTTTTAAAAAAAAATTAGGTTCAAAACCAATTTCATTCAAAACAAGGGGCCACAAGCTGAAACATCCACAAGATCAAGTTCAAAACAAATATAAACATCAACAAAATTAGCCCAATATAAAACATTACAAAATCACAAGAGGTAGGTATGGAAATACCTCACCCCACCTACAAAAAGAAGCAGTTGTCCTCAAATTCAACTAACAAGAAAACAAAGTATAACAAAATAACAGAGAGGGAGGGGAAAAATCATCTTGTCTACTCAGTCACTTTGTCTGTCGAGGAATTAGTGCCCAGGGTAACATTTTGAGGTTGGGCATAAGTGCCCGATGTAGCATCAATTGTGGCTCCACTGGGGCCTGCCATAATAGTGTCTCTCAAGGAGGCCTGCCGGGCTCAAACATGACACTCTCTAAGTCGGCTAGATCCTCATAAACAACCGCATCTCGCACCTCAATTTGCTCCTCATTAGTCTCGACCTCAGACTTAGCAGCAACAACATCCACTATAATATCATCTCTGGTGGTAGCCGGAGGTACCTCATCACAAGCTGGATTCTCAACACTCGGATCATCTTGGATCTCTACTGTCCCAAATAGTGAAGTAAAGTCTATGGACATCAGATGGTCCACATCCTTCCTCAACTCATAAACATCAGCTTTCAAAGTTGTAACCTCAGTTGTAACACCCTGTCCTCTCTCGTAAATCTCTACTCTCACTGTGAGAGCATCAATGGAAGCTCGAAGAGGTGTCAGCGCTGCAGTAATAACTCTCTCAATCATCCAGGGCACCTCAGCCTCTAGTCGAGATGCCCGCACATCGACATAATGGGCTAGGTGCCCCATATTGAGGAGCATGGCTTGTGTGATCGGAGCCCTGAAGGTTGTAGAACCAGTGGCAAATATATGGGGCGGGAGAGCAACAGAAGAACTCGGGGCCTAAGAAGGAGTGGAACTGGAAGTACCTGAAGGCCCGGAGGCCGGAGTAGGGAAGGCTGCCTCTGTAGGTAATGGTTCAATATCAACCTCCGAGGATATGTCCACCGGGGATGCTCTCCTTTTATCAGCCTCGTCCTGTGTGTACTCGGCCTCTATGCGCCGGATGTCAGTGGAAGATGTGGGAGTAACCTTGACATTCCTCTTCTCATCATGAGGAACTCCAGCTCGACAACACAACTCTGTGATGAGTACTGGGAATGGAAGGGACGTCTGGCGCTGTTTGGCCCTCATGGCCATCTCCTGCTCAATGATTAGCCCCAGATTGATGCTCTTCCTGAATATGATACTCCTGAGGCAGTCCTCCTTTGGGTGGCAGAGTATAGATTCGTTCTGAGATGACATGATCGAGCTGCTAATAAATCCAAACCAGTATCTCGCTGCCACATTTATATCCTTCTTCTCTATAGGCGCTCCGGCATTAATCCACCTCTGGGTGGTGTTAGAAATCAGGGGTGCCAGCCATCCCTTCAGGTCCTCTGAAGTCTTCATAGTAGTCAAACTCTGGTACTTGTGCACGAAATCTGTAGACCTATCCAGTACAATATTGATATCATTGCTGCTACATCTAACCTTCCTTCTTCGGACCATCACAGACTCCACTGGCCTGAAGGCACTAGCCTTCTTCTTTCCTTGAGGTACTAGGTCACTGTAGGCAGCATAGAATTCCTGGACCTAGGTGGGAATGTATGGGCCACGGGGACTGGTGAATATCTTAAAATGGCGGAATCGGAGAGTGTCCCACACATTTGGGTATAAGTCCACTACACCATCAGTGGACAATCTTTTTTCTTCCAAAATGGTCCGGAATCCCTCGACCTTTAACCTGATGAGTAGACGGGGAGGGGGACCCTGAACTGGTGGTGCTGGAACCATTGTTTGTGCTAGAGCTGGCACTGAATCCGAAGCAAAAGGGGTTGGCTCCAGAATCCTAGACGGATCATGACGAGCTTTTGCACGAATCTCTGCTCGTCGGGCCTATAATAACTGATTATCTTCAGGCTCAGAGAGTGAAGCCTCAGAATCAAATGATTCTCCTTCACTACCGGAGTTATGCTCCGGTGTCTCAGCTATGAGCGTCTTGCCCTTTCCTTTGCCTTTTCCTTCTTTGGTAGGGATCTTAGATGCCTTTGCTATGGATGCAGCTTCATCCTCATTTATTACGACTCCTCTAGCCCGCTTGAGGGGTGTCATGTCTCTTCCTGACACTTTGGGTCTAGCCATATCTGCAAAACTCATAGAAACGTGTGAGAAATAATTCATAAAAAGTGCAGAAATGAAATTGCATAAAGACTCACCGAACCAGTTGGCAAGTCACTTAGGCGAGCCAGATCGGGCTCGCCGAAAGTACCAGCTCAAAAAATTTCCAAAATAAAGACAGGTCGGCGATGTTTAGGGCCATTCGGCGAATCGCCAACACCAATCGGCAAGCTAGGAGTAGCTCGCCGAAAATTACTTATGGGTTAAGGGAGCAGAAAGGGCGATCTAGAGAACCTTTCGTCGAGTGAACTCGGCGAGCTCAGGCTTCCCGCCGAAAGTTACCAAAAAAACTTAGCCAAAATATTAAATTAAGGGCGATCAAAGGGGGACTTTTGCGAACCGCCGAACCACTCAGCGAGCTCGACGCAGCTTTCCAAATGGCCCAATGTGCCAATTTTCCACCCCATTTCCCAAAATCAAGCCCACAGCCTCCGAATTCAAAATCAAACATAAACACCATGAAATTAAAGGTAGAACCATACGACGATGCTCTCGGGGTACTCAGACTTTCCCCTATTTGGCAAAAATTGGCCATTTGACAACTTTTTCCCTTAAGAATGACGTCAAACTCTCAATCATTGGGAAAATTACATCATTTGGCACAATTCGGGGTTACTTAGATTTCACCCAACTAGACCCAACCCAAATAAACCACAACCCAACAATTTAAAACTGATTTAATCAAACAAGACACAAAAATCAAACAATTTTAGAACATTAGGCACACATTTCAACAAACTACGGGCAATCCAACACAAACAACACAATTAAAGCAATTAACCAACATCAAACAACATCCAATTACCTATAGCATTTGATTTCAACCAAAAACTTAAAGTGCGGGGTTCGAAAAACCAACCTTTATGCCAAATATCAAAGATGAAAGGCTGGGCAGCAAAGATTTCCAATTCTGAGCATGAGATCACACAAAAATATGGGCAACAGAGTAAAACATGGAAGATCAAAAGTTCGGATGAGAATGTACAAGAGTTATAAATAAGAGAAAAAGAAGGAATTTGAAATTTTAAATCGTTTGGCCTTTAAAACCTTTCAGTTCGCGGCACCATCGGTGGAGTAAGTCGTTCTCGCTGACCCACTCAGCGATGCGCCAAGTGGTATTTCCCTCACCGAGTTTTACAGAACCTTCAACAATTTTAGGGGTTCAGACGACGGTTGTAGTCAGGTTCGCTGACCTGTTCGGCGAGTCACCGATTAAGCATTTAGTCTGCCGAGTTTTACAGAGTGCCCTTTAAAGCCTAGTGATTCCAATGACGGTCCTAGTCGGGGCTTGCCTACCTATTCAACAGGTCACCGAATAGACTATTTTCTTGCTAAACTACCAATTTTCCAATACTATTCACTTTTCAACCTGCACAATAAACACCCATTATTCAAAATCAAAATTTAAGCATTAAAAACTTAGGTTGCCTCCTAAGAAGCGCCTTAGTTAACGTCGTGGCACAACTAGGATACCAAATCAAGCTTCATTTTTGGGGTTTGCCATTGTGTCACTAGCAACCCCCCTTGTTTTCTTGGATTCAAATGAGAAGAAATTTGACCCATTTGGGTCTCCAACTACTTAATAGAGACTGAATGAGAGGTCTCCGTCTGATTGAGAGTTCAGACATCCTCTTTCATCTCTTTCAACACTTTGTTTGACCCTTCAACTTTGTTCAGAATGCGTGAGAGCATATATTCTATATGGCCACCTTCAGATTCCTTGGGCTTTTGATGCTCATAGGGATGAACATACCTATCTTTGTCACCTCCCTTTCTTTCCAAGTGGCGTTATGATCACACCAATCTCTGTCACGGTCTCTCCAACCCTCATCTCTATTCCAACCTTGATTTTCACCCGATCTTGGGTAGTAACCTCCTCCTTGATTGGTTAGGAAGTTCACTTCTTCATTGTACATAGCTTCAAATTGTGCTTCATCGGGGTTTACTCCACTAACCACATCATTGACACTCTTTGTACCAACACCCATGACATATAGCCAACATATCTAGCTGGGTCATCATTTTGGCCATGTTTTGGTCTCTCTCTTGATCCTTTTCGATCTGCTCTTTTGTTAATCTAAAAGTTAGAGGAGAGACTTGGTCTTCACGAATGTACCATGCCTTTTTTATCTTGGTCATGCAATCAAGGAGTTGAGACACTACTTCATAGGGTTGTTGCATTATACCACCGGGAACAAGTTGATCAATAACTCATTTGTTCACCGAGTCGAGGCTCCTATAGAAGTATTGCAGCAAAACATTAGTTGGAAGTCCATGAGTTGGGCATTGCAACACCAACTTCTTAAACCTATGCCACATCTCATTGATTGGCTCACCTTTTAAGCGTTTAAAACCTTGGATGCTATCCCTGAGTATCATCATCTTCGATGGGTGAAAGAATCTCACTTGGAATACTGTGATCAGCTCATCCCAAGATGTAATGGAGTCTCTTGGTAACTCAGATAGCCATTTGGTAGCTTCACCCATCAAAGAGAATGGGAACAACCTGAGACGGACTGTTCTTGCGATATGTTCTTAAATGCGAATGGACCACAAATGTCCACGAAGTTCCGAATATGCTCGTGGGGATCCTCATGAGCAAACCCCACAAATAAACCTTTCAAATATAGGCATTGTGCTAGTAAATGTGAAAAACAACGTTTCCTTCAGTTGGAGGTAGACGTATTGCTCCTACACTACCCAATGGAATTGGGTCATTGTCATTTGGGTCATTTACATCATTGAGGTTTCCAACATCATCTTGGTGGCCCGCTTGGCTACTATTACTTCCATTAACGCTCATCTCCTCCTCTGTTTCACACAAGCAACACAAAACCAAAAACTAAAATAAGTAAATTCAACTATAACAAAAAAGATCACAATTCAACTGCACTAAAAGAATTTTAAATAACACCACTCCCCGGTAGCGACGCCATTTTGATGAATAACACTTCAAATAAACTTCATCCAATTCTAAGTGCAAACGATCATTAAGCAATATAAAACCCAACAAATGAGTTGGGGTCGAACCCACAGGAATGGTACGTGTTCAAATTCAATTAAGAAATACAAATGTGATCTAGCTAGTTATAGGAATCGACATTATCGAAAAAGACATAAAATAAATTAAATGGGTTGACACGAATGTCAGATGAGATGTGTTGGTTTGAAATTATCAACTATAATGCAGTCGAACACTGATAAACTAATAATAGGGAGACGAATTTTCAGGATGTCATTGATTATAGGCAAATTTCACTACATGGGTAATTGTAACTATTGATACATAGCTAAATATCAGTGGGTAGGCTAGACTATGAGTGGAATAGCTTTCTCTCGAAAAACTATTCCGCTTTAAGCGATTTATTTCGAACATCGACAAACATGGAATTAAGAACAACCCACACCTTAATTCATCCACTGTCTCAAGCTATATGGGTAGAATTGGGTTAATGATTCACTCTCTAGAGATGAAACCATATCAACCTAATACCTACAAACCATTAATCGAAAGCTTTAGCCCCAAAACTTCTCTCTCTCGCAAGCTAAGAACATAAGATTAGAACTGCATTTGCAACTACAATTTATAA